GATGACAGTAAATAATATTAGACTAGATATTCTTCAAGACACTTCTATACAGCTTAAAGTTACATTTAAAGGTTTAACTAGGTTAATTAGACAGGATAGGGTAATTAGGCAAGTTATTGTATAATGATGGTTTGTTCTATAGACTATCGAAAACAAATATATAGCTTAAAGGGGCTAATAATGTTGACCTTAACATGATAACCCATAATATCATACTGTGAAAATTTCCAGAATCTGTTAAACATCATCAAAATTATATATATATATATATATATATATATATATATATATATATATATATATATATATATATATATATATATATATATATATATATATATATATATATATATATATATATATATATATATATATATATATATATATATATATATATATATATATATATATATATATATATATATATATATATATATATATATATATATATATATATATATATATATATATATATATATATATATATATATATATATATATATATATATATATATATATTAATAATTTTTTTTTATTTTATTTATATTTATATATATATATATAGTAGATTAATCATTTTTGGAAGGCTTAAAGGTTTTTTCCAGGTTTTGGAAGGTTAAAATGTAATGTTAGCCTTTAAACTTTTGAGAAACACTTGATTTGCTTTAATATTGATGCAGTTATGAATACAATTGTATTATTAGAGGTAATATTTATTGCATATTGTATCATTTATATGGATTTTGGACGATTACTGTTGTGTAAAACAACAGATCTGGTAACACTGTTCCTCATCTTCAAATATATAACTATATTGTTCTGAGCTATGGACGACTATATGTGGGGAAAATATATGTTTTATTAAATGAACTTGGATGTAGTTTAGATAACGTCGCTAGTTTACGGTACATGCTTTATTTATATCAAGTCTGCAGTCTTTTACTGCATCAGGAGATAGCTACCCTTCTTTTATAAAATTTCTAAACAAACCCTAATCTGAATCCACAAATCGTCTTGATTTGTTTACTTTTTACTTACCAAGTGGAAAACCGCAGTGGACATTGGGATCGCAATGAATCTTGGGATTGAGACCATAGACTGTAAAAAAATAGATCGCGACATACAATGACCCCAAAGCCTCCCGTTTACGTTGTCGGTCAAAAAGTGTGGCTGTCATCTAAAAACATTCCTCTCCGCACCGTTTGTAATAAGTTAGCTCCTAAATTTATTGGCCCTTTCACTGTCACTAAAATCATTAATCCTGTGGCAGTCCGCCTCAAATTACCTCCAGCGTACAGGAGAATTCATCCCGTGTTTCATGTATCTAAAGTAAAGCCCGTTTTTCATACGGCAATTAATCCGCATGCACCAGTTCCCCCCCCCCTTTGTCAGGCTCTCCCCGTTGAGTTTGCTGGTTGTGCGCTGGTTGAAGTTTTTCCTCGATAAACTTTTGATTTGCTCTGTTGACGGAGATTGAAGATCTCCCCGCTGAACTTTTGATTCGCTCTGTTGACGGAGATTGAAGATCTACCCGATGAACTTTTGATTCGCTCTGTTTGTTCCTTCATCTGCCACTTGTGATCACCTGACTTCCAGCCAGCCAGCTTCTCTTGGTTCTGTGTTCTCTCTGAATTGTAAATAAACTGTCACTTGCATTTGGGTCTCCACGTCTTCTTTGCACAGTGTGACAGTACGGGATGGGTTTTGGCCCGTATTTTTATAATTCTTTAAAAGTAGCTTCTCATGCAAATCAACCCACACACATTTACCGGATATGCCTCATGTCCTACTTTTGATTGGGTAATACTTGATGTCATCGTTAGTTTGATTGGTCTTTGGGCGGAGGGCGGGTCTTCTAAGCAGAGTCTGTCAAGTCTTGACAGAGAGTAATGGGAGATGCTTCTCCAGGTAACCCCTGCGTCTGAAAGTTTCACAGTTTAAATGCAAGCGACTGCAAAAGTACAGCAGAGAGTGGGAGAAAACAGATATCTTGCTGCAGAGTGTTAGGAATTATAATTAAGCTACTGCATGATTTGTCGGAGAGTGTTCTCTGTGGCTCATTGTGGTCTGTGGGACAACACGCCTCTGGAGAGCAGCATTCCTGCAATTGAACAGCTCGCAAAAATTAAAGCAGTCTGACTGTTCTCCCAAAGCAGACATGACAGTGACCCAGTCTGTGAAAATCTAGCTGGAGTCTTTTTTTTTTTACTTGTAATTTACTGTTTTCTACATGAAATAAAGAACAGTATGTGTAAATAATAATAATATATGTATTTAATATTAACTGAGTAAAACTATGTCAACAGCTGAAATCACAGGGAAATGAATGGCTACTGTCAAACATTATCTCACAATAAGATTTGGCCTGGTTTTCACACTTGGTCACAAATTGTAATTTGTAAATATTCTGTAAATACAATGTAAGTGGATCATATTCCAATGTAATATTATGATTTGTTTGTTAAGGTTACGTCAGTCAGATAAGCATTAATTTATTACATGAAGCATTACATTTAATATATAAATAAACAACATAATGCCCATGTAAAGAAAATAAACAAGTAAATTGCAACTTTCCATATTTTAAAATGAGAAATAGGCTATATGAAAACTTTACTACATTGTAAAATTGAAGGTCAATAGTTCATTGAACTTTTATTACGTTAAACTGACTTAAAACAGCTTGCATAACTTATCAAATTAACATAGAACATGATTAACTTAGTTCAGTAAATTAAAATTACCTAAAAACATATGCTGTCAGGACTAAATGATTATATTATTTTTTACAGTGTAGCTAATGTTTATTTATGTGCTGTTTCCATGTTTGGATAGTTATTACTGCAAATAATGACAAACATTTTAGCCAAAATCTGTTATCAATTCTACCCTTTAAAATTAGGTTCATTAGTATTTTATTCTCTCGTCTAGGTTACAGCAGCTGAGCTAATGCAAGTGTCTATTAAACATAACATCAGCTATATCAGTGCTGCAGAGTTGTAAAAGAGAAAGACTGACTGCATCGGTTTACACCAAGAAAGGCAGTTTATTTTAATGTCCAAGTGTTCATACTTCCCTGAAAACATATTTTAAATTGCAATTTACCCAGTGGCGTAGCGTGACCAGGGGGCGACCCCCCCCCACCCCACCCCAAATTGGTAACCCTATGTACATGTGTAATGACAATAAAGTTGAATCTAATCTAGTTTAATCTAATCTAATCTAATAAAGAGAATGAATGAATGGATGAATGATTCAGCATTTTTTTTTTTTTGTCGCTGTCACTCTCTCTCGTGTGCACATAAACCCAGCGTGTGTGTTAACAGTGAATCTGTATGAACAGATGCGCAGATGTACAACTCTACATTTGTTGACAGACAGTTTGAGCTACTTGTCAGAATTATGGGAATTGTCAGCCTGTCAAATTTTAATTGGATGAACAGTTTTAAATTGTATGCCTTACCAAGAACATAAAAATACATATAAATACATTTAGATAATTTACTTTGATCATTACTATTGTCAAAATTTCAACCAGCAAAACAAAACATGTTTCTAAGGGCACAATCACCTACAGCACATTTAATCTTTGTTAATGTTAATAAAACATATATAACTGTGATAAATAATGAACAACAATTAGGTTTAGCACTACCAATGCACAACATTTTTTTTTTTTTTTTTTTACTTATTCACTAATGCATACATATTTGGTAAAGCTTAGAGCAAGTTTAAAGTTCCTGATCATAGTAGTGGACAAAGGTTTTCTGTATAGACAAATAGCAATTTTCTGAAGTATATTATACTCTAAAGCGCAAACCCCAGCTTCAACTTGCATGTTATTTATATTTGTGGACTCTTTAGTAGCATAATTTATTTCTAACAAAGCATTTTTAAGGGAATAAGGGAGCTTATTGTAGAGTGAGCATCACTCCAACTTTATGTCAAGTGTTACCAACATTTGTTTAAATTAACTAATGCATTAACTAATGTGTGAACGAATATTAATTAATTACCAGTAGTATATATTTAGTTAACATTATCAAAGAATTATTGTGGTATTGCTTAGTAGACATGTGGTTTATTCTTAGGATATGTTATCTAATCTATAAGAATAAATATATGTGTGTATATATGTACAGTGTTTAGCATAAATGAGTAAACCCCATTTTGAAAATAATATTTTTTCCATTTCTCAGTGAATATAGATCATATATTTGGTGCATTTGAACAAAACATATTTAATAAGCAGATATGTTTATTAAAATAAAATTTAATTCACTGAAAATCTTTAGAAATAGAAAAATTTTAAATTTAAATTCATGCAAAATATAAAACAAAATTACAAACTGCAAAATTTCAACAATTATATTTATTTTTTGTTCTGTTTTGTTTTTAATAGTATTTCATACTTTCCCTAACATATAAATTTGACCTACTATTTTTTTGACATTATATTGTTAGATTAGCTCCAGATTTGGCTTTATACTGATTAGTCTAATGTATATGCACAAATAAAATATTTTAACACATCCTATAGAAAATATAAATTTAAATAAAAAGATTGTATGGTGTGTGCTCATATGCTGAGCACTGTAAGTAAACAGTAATTAATGAAGCTGTAAATGTAATCAAGCATTACAATATGTCCAAGTTAAAGTGATCAAGGATTATGTAAAGCTGAAGTTAATGTGTTAACACATTAATACATATTTAGTTAACAATAACATGAAATGCTTATCAGATGTGTTAATAATTTTTAACTAATGCATTAATTAATATTAACTATAATACAACCTCATTGTAAAGTGTTGCCTTTAATTCTAGAAAAATTCTACAATACCCATACTTCTAAATAAACAATACACAATTAATGATTCAAAAAGCTTTTATTTGAAAAAAAGCATTAACTGTAGATTAAACGAAAGGTTTAAAGAGCAAGCCGGAAAAAAAAGCAGACTAAAAGTTTATTAAGATGCGACTGTGTGTGTGTGTGTGTGTGTGTGTGTGTGTGTGTGTGTTTCGTGCTGCTAATCATGGCACTGCTGTGTACGTATCTTGTGGCTCACTGTGTGCTGGGACGGGTGTGTGGCGTCACAGCTGATGCTTGTTGCTCTGCTCCACTCACTCTCAGTGAGGCTCAGGCTGCTGCTCCAGCTGTACAGTCCATCCTCCTGCAGCTCACTGGGACTCACATTCACACCAGAGCTCCTGCTGCTGTCATCTACCTTCCAGCTCAGGGTCCAGTCAGATGGGAATCCCTTACTGGCCACACACAGTACTGTAGCCTGACCCTTCTGCAGTTCATTTCTGGAGGGCCAAAGTACTGCCACAGTGGGACGAGCCGCAGCTAGAGAGAAAGATATAGGGACAAAAACAGCTCCTTCAGTCATTCTGAGAGTCTTTCACTTCCCTTTAACAGATTCACAGTTAATCAAGCACATCTCCAGTGCAGCCTGTAAACATTTTTTTCCCAGAAAGACACGTCTAAACTTAGATTTACAGAAGTTTCATTATTCTTAATGTTTTATATTTTTTATTATTATTTTTACTTTTTGGGTTTCTGTCTTTCATTTGATCAAATTATTGATATTTACTGTATTTTGTGAACTTTTATCTTTGTTTTAGACAAATTACTGCCCCATGTGACATTTATAAAAAACCCTTTCATTAAAGAATGCATTCATCCAACATTTAATTTAACATTTTATCATTTTGAAGACACTTTTCCTCTAGCCAAAATTACTTGCAATTGAGAAAAGAAAAAAAAAAACTAAGCAATCAAACTAGTTCATCAATAAATATTTTTAAAAGTAGTAGTCAGTAAAAACTGTGAAAAAGAGTAAAATAGTTTACCCGTCCTATAGTTTCTTTGTTGTCCTATCTTTAACATAATAAAATATTGTATAATCTTATTATTATTATTATTATTATTATTATTATTATTATTATTATTGTTATTTGTAAAATAGATTTCTAGAGGTGAGTAAAGATGTCATAGTCATAGAGACATAAATTTTTTACATACAAGATTTATCATTTTGGTTATACTTTACAATACAGGACACATACTGTAGGTAAATGTAGTTAGCGTAAACAATTAACAATGCTTATACGCCATTTAATAATCATAGTTCAATATTTACAAATGCATTATTAAAATTCAATGCTAAACCTTGTTAAAACAATGATGTAGCTAATAGACCATGAGTTAACATCAGCAACTTTATTTTCATTAACTAACATTAACCAACATGAATAAATGCTTTAATAAATATATTGTTCACTGTTTGTTCATGTTAACAACAACATGAACTAACTACGTGTCTCGTATTGTAAGTGTTACTATAATTTTATTAAACATGATTTAATTTTCTGATAGATACAATTCTGAATAAAAATTATTTTAAAGAAGAATAAAGAAGACAAAAATAAACTGTCTAAAGGAGGGCTGTGCAAGCAAAAATATGTGCATGTATCTGTAACAGAAAATTGTAATATTTATATTTATTCTTATATTAGTCATAGGTATGAATGTTTAATGCTTTTCAATGCTAAATAAATATAAACAAATACCATCAAAAATAGAAAGAGATTTACTTACTTCCAACAGAGAGTCGAGTGCCTCCTCCGAAAGTCCACCACAGTGATACAAACCCAATCATCAGCTGTACAAAAACCTCCTGCACTAAAACTAACACCTACAAGAGCCTACTTGCCAAGTTATGACTGAAAAATAAATATTTAAACTAATAAATATAAATTTATAAAGCTGCAATATCCAGTTTCATTTTGATATTTAGTCCTTTTTACTACTAGGAGAATTCTTATTAATAAAAAATACTAAATATGACAATCACTAACTTATAGGCTTATTTATATATTTTGCTCCACAACGATATGTTTGTTTAAAATTGTATTTTGCATTTTAACCTGCTTTTATTTAATCTATTTGTTTATTTTATTTATATTTATGCATTATTATATAATTGTTCTGCTTTTCTTTTTCTTGTCAGTTTTACATTCCTCTGTTACTTATATCGTAGCAACGCTAATACATTTTTTTAACAAAATAAAATAAAAACAACAGCAATATTTAATCAATAAATAAAACAAATAAATGAATGTGTCTAATAAAATTAATCTCTACCTATGATCATGTTCACATCGATAGTTTTCAATAATTTTAGCAATTACATTTGCAATCTTTCAATCTGGCAAAAAAATACAACACATTAAAAAAAATTAAAAATAGGCTAACATTTGCATTACAAAATATTAAACTTATATAAAATTAAACTATATTAAAATAATACAATGAAAACATTTTATCATATATATTATAATTGTTAACTAATTATTTTACAACACTAGTTATTAAAGACAGCATACTTCAGTTATGAATTCCAGTATTGACTTCTGCTGTAGTGCATAAAATCAAATCTGCCAATGCCATACAAGTAAATGAGTAAAATTGGGCTCATCTGGCATTTGAACCCAAGACCTCTTGCACCATAAGCAAAAATCATATCCCTAGACCAGGCATGTCCAAACTCTGTCCTGGAGGGCGGGTGTCCTGTAAAATTTTGTAACAACCCCAAGCAGACACACCTGGGCCAGCTAATCAAGCTCTTACTAGGCTTTCTAGAAACATCCTTGCAGGTGTTTTGAGGCAAGTTGGAGCTAAAATCTGAAGGACACCAGCAAACCAAGACATAGTTTGGACACCCCTTCCCTAGATCAGGGATTCGCAACCTTTTTTATTCCGGGACCCACCTTGGCAAGTCATTCAATCTCAAGAACCACCATAATTTTTTTAATATGGAAAAATTGGTAAAAAAAAATGTATCCATTCAAAGCAGTCAAAAATATATGGTGTGTGGCTTTTTGGATTTTGCGATTTGATATGCACAAAATGAGGTTTGAAGTGCTTTTTGTAGGATGCTGGCGGTAACTGTGATCATTTTTTTGTTGAAAAAGATATTCTTCTTTTTTAAGAAGAGAATATAATCAACCTTTGATCAAGCCCTGTCACATCGCAGTAAATTCCACTGCTAGTGATAAGAAACTAAATAGCTTTTTGATCGACTACTACAAGCTGGGAAAATGTCAGATAAATATGCCAATGCAATTAACGTTATTGCTGAATAGATCTAGTATTTACACATTTGCTTGAGGAAGGAATGAAGGGGGTAGTTACATTACTATTACTATTTTCCATAACATCCATGCCCTTCCATAACATTAGATGAAGTTAAAACTAACAGATAGCACTATAGCTATTTATTGATTAGCAATCTGTCAATGTTGGGATGTAAAAATATGGGACAACAAATAGCTTCAAATGATAGAATACATAGCAAACATTAGAAAATATTGACAATAAAATAAAAGATTTAGCCTATTAAAATCAATGGCCTATACAGAAATTAAATAAAGCTATACAATCTACTTCACTTTTAATTGTATTTGCATATGAATTGAAGCTACTATAGTTTAGTGAAGAGCAGCAAATGAATCTCTCATTGCGTTTTGTTTGATAACAGAGGTTATAATGTAAGAATGCATGGATCTATAATGAAGCATTTGACTACTTTAGTAACTGTTTGTGCTCATTTAAGAGAAAATTAGTAGTCTTTAAAATAAAACACGCAGGATGGAGCAAAAAAACAAAACAAAACAAAAAAAATTAAATAAAAAAATAAGCACTTTTCCGACGGTCCCTTACTAAAAGCTCCGCTCAGCGCAAGCTCTACTGGCTAAACGCAGATTGCGAGGGCTCAAACGGAGCAGGGCTCGTAATGTCAAGCGAAAAAAAGAAAAAGACAACTGTGAAACATAACCAGCTTTGTCTATTTGTAGGAAACACACTTATATGTTATTATATTTTTAGGGTAAGAGGTTTAACATGCTCTTCACACTAAGTTATGGTGTATTACGATAGAAATCTGTTGTGGCGGTAGCACACGCTGACGCTAGCAACAACGGCACATCTGTAACGTTACTGGTTTATTTACTTCACGTCAAGCGATCTTTACATTGTTTTGCATAAGGCTGCTAAGCAACACAAGGCACCGAATGGCGACATAGCACACATCGTGCGAGCCTCAATTCGGTCATGGCATATCGTGGTTCGTCCAGTGTGATACTCAATTCATCACCAGAGCTGCCCACACAAGATTTTACCTCAGCAGCCCTGTTCTGTGTGTCTGTTGTAAATGAGGGCGATGCCAACCCTCTTGTGCACCACCAGAGGGAACCATCGCCAGAATTCTGATTCGACTCACGGACTCAAAATCCCATAAGCCCTGCTACCTGGCACTGATTGCGGTCCAGGTGCAACTCATCAGCTCTCGTGTATATATACCGCACTCATGCTCCGGTTCGTTGCGAAGTCTTGATTTGCCTGGCTGTCATTTCTGAGCGTTCCTTACTCCCTGCTTCGGACTGATCTGTGTTTCTGACCCTGTGCTTGTTCTACGATTACGAAAGACATCTGCCTGCCCCTGATCTCCAGCCTGTTATTCTGACCAGTAAGATATCTGCCTGCCTTTGAACTTTTGCCTGTCCCACGTTCTGTCTCCTGGATTGCCCCTTTGTGTTTGTTTGTATGTGTGCTCTTAATAAAGCTTGCAAATGGATTCAATGCCTTCTGACTCATCACAACAGAAGACTTCGCCACTACAGAATCCAGCAGCTTTAGCACAAGTCTCGACTGAACTTTCCGCTCAAGCCACTCAGTTAGCCACCCATCATCAACAACTCACCCATCTAACTTCTCTCACGGAGGAACTGGTGAGAGCTATGCAGCAACTCCGTCATCCGAATCCTGCAGTTACCCCGCCTGCTACCATGACAGCTTCTCAACCAACGCATGTCTCCAATGCTCCGGCTACCGTAAGTCCCCGATTAGCTTTTCCTGAAAAGTTTGATGGGTCACCTTCTCGCTGCAAAGGCTTCTTATTGCAATGCAAACTATTTGTTAACCAACAACCTGCATTATATCCCACTGATTCTAGTCGGGTGGCTTTTGTATGCAACCTGTTAACGGGGAAAGCGCTGGAATGGGCTACAGCGATATGGAAGGAGGAGGAATGTAACTATCCCACATTTGAAATTTTTCTCAAGCAATTTCGAGAAGTGTTCGAGCACCCAGCAGATGGGAGAAGCCCCGGTGAGCAGTTACTTTCTCTTACACAGGGGCGTAACACAGCTGCAGAATACGCCCTGTCATTTCGCACTCTCGCCGCTCAAACTAACTGGGTTGAGGATACACTGAAGACACTATTCAGACGGGGTCTGAATACCAATCTACAATCTGAATTGGCTTGCCGTGACGAAGGAAAGAAATTGAACGAACTCATTGAACTTACCATCCGTCTTGATCATCTGATTCGCAGCC